CACATGCGAAAAAGATAAATCAAACATAACATAACAAAGGACCTTCCACACTAAAGTCCTTTCTCATGTAACCAAACCCTAAACCGCGAATTAACAACTTCCTTCCATTGTCTTTTTTACTTCACACGACCCTAACCACAAAGGCTAAAAGACCAGTGATCCGACATGTAATAAACAGGCCCTAGGCTGCAATCCCGTTCCTACGGGTATTACAATCGGTAGTCACGGTCCTAGGCTGCAATTTCGTTCCTCCGTGACTAGCGATATCTGGAAGTGTCAACTGCTCTCTACAATTGTTAGAACATTACATGATACTCTTGATCACTTGTAACGCCTAACCTCACACACAACATAAAATTTTACCTTTGACCTGCATCTATCTAGAAAGATCACACGCGGATCTGCTTCCTCTTGAAATCCTGCATCCACAAAGGTTAGTGGCAAATACAAACATATCTGATGACTCATGCAGCATGCAATCACACAATCAAACATCATGCACAAACAATCAAAGAAAATACTTAACCAAATTCTTAAAATTCTAGCAAAAACCTCCATGGCCATAAAACATAACAATAAACAAGCAACGTGTGCTCTACTCATCTAGCACACGACAAGCATCACCAAGACTCATCTTATTCAAACGGTTAGGATTTAGACTCGGACTTAGGCTTAGAACGGATCTAGGTTCCTCGACTACTCCACGATCTAACAAATCTTCCCTTTYCTTAAAACRKACAGARTTTYGGCTTGAATCTCGATCATTCCAACCATCAAAACCACAAAGGGTTGGATTCAAGATCACAAGACGAAACTAAGTCAGATAGAAAAGTTATGATCGGAACGCCTTATCCTAAAAACTTAACGGCACTACTGGATGATTCCCGACAACAGACCGCGGAATGGATCACGATCACTAACTATTTTGGTCAGAAGTTTGGAACGTTTTCAATGTAAGAAATAAGAGCTACTTGGTCCTATTTATAGGGTTAAGCAAGCAGGTAGGCACAGTAGGACGGCCAAAAGTGTGTGTCATGCTTCCTGATGAGTCGTTGTACACGGTCGCGACACCTCGTGCTTGTGAATTTGTCGTGCTTACGGATTTGTCGTGCTGCCGATGACTCGTCACAGAAGATCGCGACACCTTGTGCTTATGGGATTTGTCGTGCTTCTGATTTGTCGTGCTTGCAGATTTGTCGTGCTTGCGGATTTGTCGTGCTTGCGGATTTGCCGTGCTTCTGATGACTCGTCACACAACATCGCGACACCTCGTGCTTGCGGATTTGTCGTGTTTGTGGATTTGTCGTGCTTCCGATGATTCGTCACACAAGATCACGACACCACGTGCTTACGGGATTTGTCGTGCTTCTGACTTGGCGTGCTTGCAGATTCGTCTTGCTTGTTGATCCCAAGCACGTCAATCCCGAGCAGTTGTGTAGTGCTTCCGCAAACTTTTATTTTTATGAAAATATCAAGTTTGAAAGCACCATGCCACCTCATGCTTCTCTCCACGTCGTGCTTGACAATTTTTCTTCCATCAACTAGGTCTTGACTCGATCATCTTCCGTAACTGTTTTGATCTCTTGACAGGGTTATTACAATATGAGTCTACACAAAATAAATAACAAACGGTCAAAATTTTGTAAGAATTGATGTTGATGTTTTTGGAAAGATACTCCGAGGCTTAGTGT